AATTTAAAAATATTTTGAATAAGATTTTTGTTAAGGCTGGTGAATAAATTGTACGCTTGTTTAGAGTTCATCTTAGATCAACACAGAAATTCTAACTATATATATAAAGAATGTGTATGCACTGTGGTTTGCATGCATAATCTGAAACCATGGGTAAATTACTAAATTGACACTTCAATTTAAAGGGATACTTTCCCCTAGAATTAGTATGTTGTATGAGTATATTACGATAGTAAGCGCATAAATAATAGCATATTCCTACAAATTCTATAATCACGCATTCAAATTTGTTATAAAACAACAGGGAATTTTGAAATCTTTTATTTTTGGAGCTGACGTGACACCACGCGATTGTGCTTCCACCATGAAAATATTGCGCATTTGCCAATCTATTTTGCATGGTACAGACCGAGAGCCAATCACAAAATTGCAATTATATTTATACCTAACTGCTATTTAACTGACCAATTTTTATTTTAGGACAAATTTCTTCATATTATAACTGAAACTAAGCATCATTTATAAAATATGGTAATCTTTTGCCTCTTATATTAATAAATAAGAAACGCCCTCAGTCTGCAGCCTGCAGCTGAAACGTTGCTTTGCGCAACTTTTTCAGTGGATGCGCTTCTAGTGGCGCCACCGCCGTTGTAACCAACAGTATAGCTGTCGGTTATTATTATTATTATTGTCGGTTATTATTAGGCCATCCTTAAAAAATTATATGTTTGCTGTCCTCTGACCGACCCACGAAAATAGCCGCGACCCAAAAGTTTTGTTTGACATTTTTCATAGTTAAGACTGAAACACAAAGCATGTGTGGCAAACATGAGGACAGACTTAAAATAACTATTATGCCTCACACACACAAAATGACCCACCCACTAAAAAAATCATGGGTGGGGAGACAGCAAACATAGAATTTTTTAAGGATGGCCTTAGCAACGTTTTAAAAAAAATCTTATGTATATTGAACCATAAAACTTTTTATGTGTAAAATATCCAAAGAACCTAGGATAATGTATCCCTTTAATAAAGCTGCATTTGTAGCAATCACTGTCAACAATACTGTTGCAATAATAATTATAATACCATGCAATAATACTATTGCATGCCCTACTTACGGACATATGTATACCACTCACGTCCTTTTGCATCGTGACATATATACACAGAGAAGTCAAGTAATTTGGAGCCTACTGTATCAATATTACTCCGCACAACAGCACGGGCTGCCCTTAGCTGATGTAAACATCAGAATGCAATGATTGATGAATTAATTTGAACACTGCAGCTTTTGTGTTGAGTCTTTATATAATATATATATATTAAATACATTTAATATTTGTATGCACAAAATGCGCGAATAGAACACCTCGTTGATTAGATACATTATGGAGTTCAGGGGAAGCCTCTTAAACATGAATAGAATGTACATGCATGCACGCGCGCACGCCTATAGGGAATGAAATTTGCGCCTGCCTGCCTGGCATGGTATTTAAAAATGTTTTTGGGTAGGTAACGTTCAGGTCTAACTCACCCAAATTGACGAACAATCACATTGTTGGTCTCTTAGTAAAAGCATGTTTTCTTGAAATTTGTTACTTACAAAGCCCCAAAAATTCAAATCCTCAGTGGTGACCAACAAAATAACAGATTTCATCTAATAACAATTTTGCGCAGCCAAAATTAACATGTTAAATAAGCCATAGTTAACTTACAGGTGAACGCATGTTTACCTTACAACGAATGAATAATATTTCACGTTTTCCACTGTTGTTTGAGGCATATTGTATGGTTGGTTTGGTTGAAAGAATTTTGGTCTGGGGAATTTTTCAGACTGTCAGACTAAGTGATCTGGTGCAAATATTTCTCAATTGTATGCCGAATACACGAAACTTGTATATACATCAAGAGTGCATAATAGAGAAGAGTATGACACGGTTTTAACAGCGTTTTGCATAGTTTTCAACTGGTAAATAATCTATCAATATGTGAATAAATATATTCAAACTTTACCTTGTTTTCGTCTATGATACTCCCTTAATCATATGACACCACCAATTTACCTGAAAAT